ATTTGGAGCATAGATGTTCAGAATTGAGAGTTCACCTTGGTAGATTTTTCCTTTGATGAGTATGAAGTGTCCTTGTTTATCTTTTTTGATTAATTTTGGATGAAAGTCGATTTTATTTGATATTAGAATGGCTACTCCAGCTTGTTCCTTGGGACCATTGGCTTGGAAAATTGTTTTCCACCCTTTTATTCTGAGGTAGTGTCCATCTTTGTCACTGAGGTGCGTTTCTTGTATGCAGCAAAATTCTGGGTCTTGTTTGTGTATCCAGTCTGATAGTCTGCGTCTTTTTATTAGGGAATTGAGACCATTGATGTTAAGAGATATTAAGGAAAAATGATTGTGGCTTCCTGTTATTTTTGCTATTAGAGGTAAAGTTATGTTTGTATAGTTATCTTCTTTTGGGGTTGTTGGAAGATTACTTCCTTGCTTTTTCTAGGTTGTAGTTTCCCTCCTTGTGTTGGCGTTTTCCATCCATTATCCTTTGAAGTGCTGGGTTTGTGGGAAGATATTGTGCAAATTTGGTTTTGTCATGGAATATCTTGGTTTCACCATCTATAGTGATTGAGTGTATTGCTGGGTATAGTAATCTGGGCTGGCAATTGTGTTCTCTTAGGGTCTGTATGATGTCTGTCCAGGCTCTTCTGGCTTTTATAGTCTCTGGTGAGAAGTCTGGTGTAATTCTTATAGGTCTGCCTTTGTATGTTTCTTGACCTTTTTCCCTTACTGCTTTTAGTATTTTTTCTTTGTTTTGTGCATCTGATGTTTTGATTATTATGTGACGGGAGGTATTTCTTTTCTGGTCTATTCTATTTGGTGTTCTGTAGGCTTCTTGTATGTTTATGGGCATCTTGTTCTTTAGGTTAGGGAAGTTCTCCTCAATAATTTTGTTGAAAATTTTTACTGTCCCTTTAAGTTGGGACTCTTCATTCTCATCTATACCTATTATCCTTAGGTTTGGTCTTCTCATTGTGTCCTGGATTTCCTGGATGTTTTGAGTTAGGAGTTTTTTGCATTTTGCATTTTCTTTGACAACTGTGTCAATATTTTCTACCGTATCTTCTGCATTTGAGATTCTCTCTTCTATCTCTTGTATTCGGTTGGTGATGCTTGCGTCTATGACTCCTGTCCTCTTTCTTAAGTTTTCTATTTCCATGGTTGTCTCCCTTTGAGCTTTCTTTATTGTTTCTATTTCCATTTTCAGATCCTGAATGTTTTTGTTTAATTCCTTCTTTGTGTTTTCTTGCATTTCCTTAAGGGTTTTCTGTGATTCCTCTTTAAGGGCTTCTATCTGTTTACTTGTACTCTCCTGTATTTCTTTAAGGGAGTTACTTAATTCCTTCTTATAATCCTCTATCATCATCATGAGAAGTGATTTTAATTCTGAATCCTGCTTTTCAGGTGTGATGGGGTGTTCAGGGCTTGCTATATTGGGAGAACTGGGAACTGATGATGCCAAGAAACTTTGGTTTCTGTTGCTTATGTTCTTGTGCTTGCCCTTCGCCATCTGGTTAACTCTAGTGTTGCCTGCCCTCACTGTGTAAGACTGGTGTCTGTATTTCCAGCTATCCTGCTTGTTGCAGAGCTCCTCACAGTCCAGATGTCTCTGTAGTCTTATGATTCTAATCTTGGTGTCTGCTGCTCTGATTGCAGTGGCTCCTCTGCTGCTCTGAGTGCAGTGGCTCCTCTAGGATGACTCAGGAGTCAGTATCTCTACAGGACAGGAGCAGATCAACTCAGTGTCAGCTGCTCTGAGTACAGTGGCTCCTCGGCTGCTCTGAGTGCAGTGGCTCCTCTAGGATGACTCAGGAGTCAG